GAGTCCAGCACAGAGCCACAAAGAAGATTAAGGGGGTCGAACATCTCCCTTATGATGAAAGGCTGAGGGAGCCGGGTCTCTTTAGCCTGGAGAAGACTGACCTCATTAATGTTTATAAATACATAAAGGGAGAGTGTCAGGAGGATGGAGCCGGGCTCTTCTCGGTGATGGCCAATGACAGGAAAAGGGGCAACAGGTGCAAGCTACAGCACAGAAGGTTCCACATAAACATAAAGGAAAGCTTTTTCACTGTGAGGGTGACAGAGCACTGGAACAGGCTACCCAGAGAGGCTGTGGAGTCTCCTTCTCTGAAGACATTCAAAACCCACCTGGACGTGTTCCTATGTGACATACTCTAGGTGGTCCTGCTCTGGCAAGGGGGTTGGACTAGATGATCTTTCCCTTCCAACTCCTAACATTCTGTGATTCTGTAATGCTATCTGTCTCTTTCATTAACACGCTCCATGTCAATCAATGAATGATGTGACTGGAGTAGCGGAACCATGAAAGCTATTTTTGAAAGTAAGACTCACTATATGCATCTAGACTCAATCTACCACAAAGCCTGTTCTTATGTGCTTTCTACGTAATCTTCCAAAGATCTTAAAACACATTACTCCCTAAATGCAATCTTCCGAAAAGGTAACATGATTAGCATGCAACGCTTGCAACTACCCTGAACGACCTTGTGTTACAAAAAGATTTAAGCAGTATTGTTGAGAATTACCTTATCTAGATGTGCATGTGTGGCCTTTACATGCTCAAGCTTCTTCTGCAAACTGGAAATAAGTAAAGTTAAATATTGCATTTAAGTAGGATGGACAAAATGTCATTTCAAAATTTCAATAAACTCTTCAGAGCAGAAATGAAATATCAAAGATAGACTATATACTCAGAATAAGCTTGAACTGTCAATTCAGTTTTAATCTCAAAATAGAGATTTGTAATTATATTGGTTTGATCTAGTTAATGATTTGTGTTAGAACGTCAGCTTTTTTAAAATATAAACACAATTAGGTTATAGTAATGATTTGCAGTATCTTTGGGATATTAAATATTTATACTTCAAGAAGTACAACACCCTTGATATTCTTATGTGTAGGAACAAAAGGCAAACTAGATCATTAAAGCAAGAAGGGGAAAATAAATCACTAGAATTTGCCAATGTATTAGTTGTTGATTTAAAAAAAAAAAACTGTAGAAGAATGATTTGAAAAGCAAGAAGAAAAAAATGTACAAAGCTGTTGCTTGTAAGAAAGAAATCTGTAACACTAAGTTAGATACTATATATCAGCTTCCCTTAAACTACTGTACAGCTCATTCCTACTGTGCAGTGTGCCTGCTACTTTAAAACTGGTCCAGTTTACTTCATAAAGGAGCTTGGGGACTTGTTTCATAAACTAAGATTCAGGGTCTTACTGTATTGTTTTGTGTGACAACATAAAATTTTAATGCAACTTCAGATTACACACCCACACCTGCCTTTAATCAAGATAGTGCAAGATTTCTTCAAATACAGTTTCTGCACCAAAGAACATTCCTTCTGTCTTACATCCAACGTGCAGAAAAGAGAATACTGCAGCAAGTCACTATGATGACAGCTCTCTGCTACTTCAGGTAAGATTGCCCATAAAAATCTCTCCTCCTACTTTGATGACTGTAAATTTTAAGAAGCCTTTAACGGTGGGCGAAAAGATACTGACTGCTACTAAGTCAACATTTCACACCCCTCACATCATCTTTGCTTTGCTGTCTTCTCACACTGCATTCCACAGAATCCAGAACTCCTGATGTGTTTCCTGTCACTTCAGCGCATGTATAGACTATAAGGTTCTACCAGTACCGCCACAACGACCAGATGTTGCATCTATCTGCTACGCTGGCAGAAATCCTTACCGTAGTATGCAGCTAAAAGAACAATTTTATTAGTGTACTGGTGTGTGTTTGTGCTTAAATGGTGCTGGATGCAAAGAGTTTTTCTCCTACAGACAATAGGGTAGAAGTCACTGCTAATATTTTACGTAGGGATTTCTGTATCTTATGAACTGCTACCAGGGTAAGCAATTTCACTGTACAGAGCTCAAATAAAAACAAAAGAAATGGAACTTCATTTCAGCAGTCTACAACCTTCTTGGTGCTTTTAGAATTTGTCTTTAAATGCTGCAATTTTAGAGTGATTCCTCTGTTTTAATCCCAAATATTGAGAACCTCTAAAGGAACTATGAGTGAGGTTAAAGAGAAGACTAGACCCAGAAAAGCAAGAAAGATTTTTTTTTTTTTTTTGTCAGCTTCTTAAGGACGTTCTCAGATTTGTAGACCACAGCACTTCCTAGTAAACCTTGCAGAATGCCACCTATTACTACAGCTAATCAGATCTAACTGTGATTTGCCATTATCAAGAATGATCCTTTTCTGATTCGCATCTTCTTACTGCTTTCTATCTGTCGTGTGGCTCCAGGATGAGTCAGTTTAGTTGATCCATCATAGAACTCAGGACATGGGTTTATGATCTGGTTTATGACCTAACAGTTATCTATTGTCCATAAAGGATATACTGGCCTTCCTCCCCCCTTAACTTTCTTTTGGATGCCTATTCTGAACCTCCTTGATGCTGCCATTAGTAAAGACCTGACTAGTACATTCACGGAGCTCAAAAGAAACAAACAAGACTTTTCACAGATCAGGAAAAAGCCATTGCCAGCAAAAAGAAGGGGCAGCAGAGAGTCAGGAAAAGCAGCCTATCCTTTGGATAGTACTGCAGCAGTTCACTCAGAAATCTCACAAGCACATCTCATCTACTAGAGGTTATCAGCTTGCATCTTCTGCAATTTCTCCCTTCTAGGAATAAGGAAGGGGCTTTACCCAAAGTGAACAGTGTGCATCCAGGAAGAAAAATGAAGCTGATATGGCCCCCAGTTGCATATTCCCTCCTTGGTTTTACGATTGCTCCAGTACTCCTTGCTCTCTTTGCTGAACAACTTCAGCACACAAAGTGAACAGAAAGACCTTCACCCCTCACCTCCAATTTTATTTTTCCACCCATCTAGCATGCTGAAGCACATGTTTGGCATTAAAAAAAAAAAAAACAAGAATGTGGAACACAGTAAACAGAATTCGTAGTGGCTTTGCTTGTTGTGAACCTCAGTCATCATTTTCTGTGAAAACTAAGGAGCCCTCCAGTTCATCATGACGGTAGAGTGAAAAAATTTTTGAAATCCTTTAAGTGAACCAGAAAAGAGCGTGCACATCTATTCTACTACTAGTATTATACCAAAACTTGTGTTTTCAGAAAAAAAAGCCAACCAGTCATGCACACTCTGACTCATTCAACTCTACAAGGTCAAAAAGCTCTTGCTGCACACATTTCAAGTGGAAAAAATTCTCAGTCTCAGATTACCACCAAAGTGAGAATTTTAAATAAGTGACTAAACTTGTTTAAACTAGAATTTCTAAGAGAAACTCACATGCAAATTTCAGTCAGGATCTGAGTGTTTCTATTTCATGCATGTATATTGGACATTATGTCTAATACAAGACAGTGAAATCACCATACCTTATTCCAGATAAACTGTCAAAAGCATGCAGGTCCAACACATTGGAGAGATCAACTCTAAACAGAGGGAAGAAAGAAAGCTTTGTATTTTTGCTATATTTAAAAATTGCGTTTACTTAAATAATTATTTTTTAAATGGTTCACTAAAGCTTATGTTTGTCTTCCTGTCTGTCATACTAATGGCATCAATCCTTAGCCTCAGTTTCGGGTGTTGGTGGTTGGTATAGTCTCCTACAAGGAAACGTAGTGTTCATTTACACAGCAATATGTAAGCACAGAAATGTAATTTTAAAAGATATAGTAAAATACAAGGTATTACTAAGGAAGATTATAAAATCCCTCATACTATATGCCTGAATAATAACTGATTTTCCCCAGAAGGGAAAAGAAATCCTGAAGTTCTTCCCAGCAATAATTGTGCACCCTTAATTTGGACCCTCTCAACACAAACACATACCCCTGGAATATATTTAGCTTATACTGACACACTGTTAGCAAATAAAACTGAAAGACACTATGAGGCAAGTGCTACTATGAAGAATTTCAGCTCTAACATCTGAAACAGACAAATGAAAAATGTTATATGGAACAGAAAGCATTGATCATATTTACTTGTAAGAACAGTAACTTATAAACTTGCATATGAAACTTTTTTTATAAAAGCAATACAAACTATAAGTTTCACTGCTAATAGCACTTTCTGAACGCAATTAATGATAGGTGGCTAAATACTAGGAACATACAAGAGGTTAAAAAAAAAAAAAAAAAAGGAGACCTCTGGAGTGTAGGTAGTATTATTAAACTTCTACACCCAACAGTAGCTTTACAGTTTCTAAGACAAAAGTTTTATAATGTAAAACACATAAATAATTCCTCTCTGAAGTTCCTGACTAGCTCAGTGCTAGTTGTTTGTTCTCGGGGAAAAAAAAAAAAAAAAAAAAAAAAAATCACATAGAAACACTGAACAAAGTGTTCTATTGGTCCCTTTCAAATGTGGGCTTTTGAGAGACAAACCTGCTAATTAAAGAAGATCTGTTCTCAAATAACATACTAATAAATTAAATTTTGTGCTTATTTCACTTTTGGAATGTTTAATCATGGGAGAGGCAGTATGTCTCATTCACTAAAGAATATTTACTTCGTCATTAAGGACTGAATCTGAGGTCCACCTAATCTAATATTCAAAATTTAATGCTGGCTGGCATCAGACACCAGAGAAGGATACAGATGTGGATACTACACTTCACATATTGGATCTCTTCCTAATGGACATGGACAGATAACGATTTAATACACAAAGCATAAAGTCTAATATCCTCTTCAAAATTGTTAGCCATGCTGGATACCATCGTAACCTTTACAGAAACCTTTTTTTTCCATGTTACAAAAATCTTGGCCTCAAACTTGCACTAATTTCCTAGGCAATTTATGAACAATTTAATTCTATCAATAGTTTGCTGCTTTTCCCCCTCCAAAGCATTTCATTGATCATTTCTGTACCCTGCCTTGCAGTTAAAGAACAAGGAACTCCTGATCTGCTTTCTCAAAACCACTGTTTGTTCTCAGTAAAATCATCATGTTGTCACTTATTTAATTTCAGCTGGAGCAATGTCTTGCAAATCTTTTTCACGTTAGTGTTTTCCTAAGACCTGATCATCATTCATTATTTTCCCCCTCCTTCTGTGGCAAAGGTAAAATTTCTCATTCTTCATAATATAAGATAAATTCCAGAATTTTACAAATTAGTATCATGTTCCCCAAAGTTTACTAAATACGAGGAAAGGGAAATGCTACAACTGTACCTCTGCAACTCCATCCCTTTGCAGTACTTGCTCTTCTTTTGTCTTTCAATCATTTATGTTGCACTAGAAGTACATACATAGATGAAGAAATATCACTCTGCACAGATGTCATGAAAACTGTAAGTAATACAGAGGTCTCAAAAATAAAAGATAGCCAAATCTGGATATTGTAAAATTAGCTATCAGTAAATATCCAAGATTTACCATCAGAATAAAACCTGGAGTCATGAGAACATTCTCACCTCCATTTACAGAGAAAAATGCCAATGACATTGTTCTAATACAACTCAATTGTATGAAATACTAACTTAGTAATACTGAATTTACAGAATAGGAAAAATCAAAAGTCTAAATTTTGCAGCAGAATCTAGAGTGACTATTTACAGGTTAAAACTTTTAACATACCAAAAAAGCTGGTGAACATTAAAAGCTCAATTTTAAGAATTGCTCACATTTATCCACACTTGCTGTTTTGAACGTAAGTTCCTAAGTGACAACAAATCCATTGAAGAAAATAACTTTACGTAATAAGACACACATGAGAAATGATTTACTAAGGGTCACTAGAAGAAAAATAGATGAATGAGTGTGAAACACCCCTCAGTAACAGAATTTATGATCTCTTCCATAATATGTTTATTCTTGTTCTGAGCACTCTTCAACAGAATTCATAAGTTAGGAAGAAAAGAGTATGAAGCTGGCAAAGCTAATTAAACATTTCACCTTGCTCCTTGAACAAAGTAATGAAAACAGTATGAGAATGATCCTTATAAACTAACAGGATAGTGACTGAAGAGAATGCTTTCCATGGCACAACTGTCCAACAGCAGAGTATAAAACTTCCCATAATCAGACTGCAGGCAGATTCTCAACTAAGTTATAGCCAACAGACACATTAACAAGATTAATGTTTTCAGAAATGTAAACCCAGCTGATCTTTAGACTGAAAACAGATAAGCACCTGTCGTCAAAACCATGGGTTACCAAACAAAATACACATTCTACAGTCATTTGCTGGTCCTATCTTATCAGCCAATAACAGCAAATATTCTTCTCTACACTTTCCAACTACATTTGACAGTAACTTTAAAAAACCAAGTATATTTCATTAAGATTATATCCACTATATTCCCCTCAAAAATTGCTGCAAACAGGAACCTGTATTGTTTGAGCATTTATCACAATATAGACAAATTACTGACATAATAGTACACAAGTTAGTCCTAACAGTCTGAAAGATACACTGCTCTTCTAATACCCCTGGGAATAGCATACCCATTTAATTCCTTATTAAAGAAGAAATCTGAGTAAGAATTTCAATGAAAAACAGGAAAAACTTCCTTGTGCTGCTTTCAAAATCATTCTGTAGTAATGAAATATCTGCAGCAGCCATAAGTGAGAAAAATCTTTAAGATGACACAACAGAAGGAAAACATTATACTGCATGTGACCAACGATTAACTCAGAGACAATGTGGCTTGCAAGTTCCTCTTTCACTACAAGATCTGCTTAACAAGCTAAAACAAACTTTGAATTTCTACATATAACATTCCCTTAAAAATCTGCTACATTTCTGGAATATGCTGAAGCCAATTAAGCTACACCTGTGTTAGCATTTTTCAGAAACTTTCCAAATCCTCTTACTCCATAAACGGCAACATGATTAAAATTCAACTTAATAATTAAAAGCCATATTCATATTAAACTTAAGAACAAAATGCAGGCTTTGGGGAAAAAAGCGCTCAAGCTTTTGTAACATCCACTTCTCACGTACATAAGAAACACTTACTGGTATATTGCCAAGTCCAATAAAATCCACTAGTGATAAGCTCTGTAAACTAAGCTACATCTTAATAGTTATTTTTTTAAAGAATAATTATATGTTAGAGTGTAGGATGTGAACAGTAACAAAGAAAAATATATTTTTACTTCAAAAAAAATTCCTTTGTCGATATGCTTATTAGTAAAATAAATACCAAGTGAAGTATTTCTAATTCAATAGTTTTCCTTTATGCAAACTGATCTAACAGCATATTTAAATCTTGTCACAAAAGAAGCAGGATCTGGTACCTAGTAATAGTGGCCATTTTAATACCTTGATCTTTGTGTCTCTAGAATTTTAACAAGTCCGTTTATTGACCTAAAACAAAATAGAAAAAAAAAATCAGAAGTTTTATGAAAACGCAACCATAATATATTTCTTGAACAAGTTACCCATGGAAAGCATCATGAGAAATACCAATCACAACAATAACCCCAACTCTGTTACCAACTCGTTGAACAAGCCAACAGACACCCCGACAGACTTCGTTGTTGTGACTTTTTCATCTCCTAAGGGCTGGTAAACTTTAAAAGTTCTGACAAAAAAAATACTATCAGTGAGTATCATTTTCCTACCCAAGGTTCCTTAAGATACACTCTGCAGGGTCTAAGCATTTTTACTTTTAGAATTCAAACCACTAAGAAAGTTGTAAAGTATTTAAAAAGCTTAATCTTTCATTTTGGTTATCATGATATCAATAGAAAAAGATGGTGCACGTCTTTGATCATCAATTTGATTCAGACCTTTAGTTTTTCTGCACCCATGACAATCATTTGGGACTTGCTCCATGTATCTTCACATTTGCTAACAAACTCTGATCTACTAGCAGACTTCCTTTTCCCTGATGCTTATTTTGTAAAATGGGAACAGCTGCCCAGAAATGTAAGAGCGCGGACACTTAAGACAAAGGCCTGTCCTTAGTAAGTAACATCAAATCTTACCTAGATAGGTAAACTACTAAGACTGTGTAAGCACATAAAAACATTGAAATGCCTTTAGAAAGGGGCAGTCTCTCTTCACTTCTGAGCTAACAGTTTGTGCCAATGTAATCGTGAGAACTAATTTCTGTATTAACAGCACAAAGGAAGTAACTATGTTTAAATAAAATAACCTTTGATCCAGTAGTGTTATAGTTATGCCAAAAGTTTCATACCTGACAGATGTTCTGACTTTATTCAATTCCTCCCCTGAAACCAAATCTGTTTTATTGATGATGATAAGATCAGCTAATGCAACCTGCCTACACATTAAGGGAAGAAAAAAAACAAACCACAACATGAACAAATAAATACTAGCTCTGTAAAGCAGAAACACCATCTCTCCCACACTAAAAAGATCGCATGAGCATTGTTAGTACAGAAAGACAAGCATTACTCAAACTAGAACATCATGGAGTATGACTAAAGTACTACTGGCTTCTCCATGAGGTGCTCTTCTGTGCCATAAGAGAAGTCTACCAGCCTACAAAGGCTTGCTAGTTTTTGTTTTGTTTTGTTTTAAAATGTCATCTAACCCCAAGTGCTTCGGGTTTTATGAACTTCACAAGCCCCTTCTCCGGCATGTAGTCTTTGTAAAGCCATACTTGAAGTCTCTTTGCTTTATGAAGACTTTTGTGGTTAGTTATCCTGAATCACTGCGGCTCCAAGTCTAGCAAAATAGATTCCTCTATCTCCAGTTCTACTTCAAGCATATGAGATTCTGGCATGCAATTCTTTCTTACCCCCATCACAGGTCGTTCCCCTTCACTTACATAAAATCCCATCACTCTTAAAACACATACTAGAAGAGTCAGAGCCTGGCAAAAAGACCAAATGGAGCACAAAGGCACTTTTCTATCTTCTACCTCATTACAACAACCTACCTTGGTTTAAAAGCAAAGCAGGAGAAAAAAGCCTGATAAAAGAAAAAGAAGCCTCTTCTAATGGACTTCTACACAGCACAGTTCCTAACTGCGATACACAAAATTAACTTATACATCCATACCGAGATGCTTCATTGACAAGGCCTTCTGGCTTTTCCTCTGTCAAGTGCTAGACAAAAATGAAAACAATTCGATTAATCATATCCAAATGACATTTAAATTCACTTGTAATTAAAGAAGTCAAATCCAATTCAACTGAGGTATGTTTTTCAACAAGGTATTGAGGAAGATGGCATCTAGAATTTTCTGTAAAACGATGGTGAAAAAGTACATCCACCATTACAGAAGAACTTTTTTTTTTTTTTTTTTTTTTTTTTTTTTTTACGAAAACTCTTCACTTTTTATGAATTTTATTATTAGAATGCTAAAGAGTTGGAAAACTCTACTATACTTATTTTAATTACTCTTCAGACTTATGGTGAAGCCACTGTGATGGACCGTAACCATGGAAAAATATTACAATACTTTCATTTTTTCAGATACTTCACTGATGAGTGTGATGTCAACTAACTGTTAAAGATGGATTAGGCTTGCAGTACAGGATTTCATTTACATAAATGCATATGCCTTTTCTCTGAAAAGTTTGACAAACTGTACTTTTATAGTAAAAACTTGTGGCATTTTTTCTGGGTTTGTAGAAATAAGCCACTACTCCTTGGCTAGTCTGCCCAACATCAGTGTCTGCGGCCTATTCATGCTGTGACTGACAGAAGAGTCAGTCAGCACTGACAAAAGCAGAAGTTTCTGGTCATGCTGCAGGAGTTCAATATCATCTGCAGCTTTGTGCTCCACCTGTCTGCCCAAGCTCACGTCCTCACAGAAGAATCAGTGAAAGGGAAAAAAAGCTGCAAGCAGCAGTATAAAGTTTAGCAGCATAAAGTCTTACTTAATTTAGGCAGCGCAACAGACTACACTGAAGCATCAAAGGTTCAGCTACAAGTTGTTTTCTGCCCACTCTGCCACGGAGGCAGCAATCTCCAGTAAAGAAGCACCACAGACACCTGGAGGCAGCAAAACTTTAAACTGATGCTGTAATATTAGTAAGAGCTCACCACTTACGCCTTACATCTCTGGGAAGATTAGAGTCCTGTGCATTCCTTCATCAGCTCTATATGTACTAGGAATATTATTTTAAAATGTGTTTTAAAGACACAGGAATACCAAACGAAAGTGGAATTAATTGTCATGGGAAATATCTAAATTAAAAAAACCCTAGAAAACTAGTTTTTCTTCAAATGGAATCACCAGGCATCTAACATTATTTGACACGAAAACCAATAATACATTATTGCACACTGTTAGTCTTCCACATTAAAAAAAACCCCAACAAACCAAGAACAAAAATGCAAAACTATTTCCTGATGGTGCACAACCTAAGCAGAGCATAACGGGATGACTTGGAAGGAACCTCTCCTCTGACCTTTTCTTTGTAATCTTCTGTGTACTGATCCCATTGAATTAAATGCTGTGAATTAAATGTTGTCACATTTGTTGCCCTGAAAAGAACAATGTCAATAGTCCCGACATCAAACCCTGAGAGCTGAGAACTTTCACTTCAAGTTGTCCAACTGTTTGCCCTCGATTAAAAAAAAAAAAAAAAAAAAAAAAAAAAGTACTTCAGATTGCTGGGTGACAAATCCATTACAGTAATAACTCATGGTATCAATTACCACTTCAGTTTCAGTTTGGCTGACTGCTCACAGGGTACTATTTGTCAGCTGTTCTTGTGATGGGTTGGTTCTTTGAAGCATGACACCCTTAAATTGCTGCCTATTATCTATGTCATTACCTGTATGGCTTTCAAAATTGTTTGAATCAGAAGCAGCTGTTGAGGTCAAGCTTTGCAACCCGAGGAACTGCACAAATTAGCAAGTCCTTTATACAAAGCAAAAGTTGTTTACTTGGCATGTAACTGAGAAAGTCTGAAGTTTCTATTATTCTGAATGGATGTCAGTGTTGTACAGGCCTACTGATTAAATATTGCTAAGAGTTTTCAGTGAGCTGTCAAAGATAATAATGGATAGAAAAGCTGAATGTTTCAGAATATTTTTGTGCCATTTCCAATAAATTACTTGAAAGTTTAAATATTACAAAAATTATTTTGAAAAAAAAAGTTTAGTGCTGCTGTGTGCAACACAATTATATTTGATTCAACCCAATAAATCAGCATTGCATGAAGAGAAAGATAAACAGAACAACATTTTTGCAAGTAATAAAACATATCCAAATCAGTATAAGGGCACTCAGCTGAAAGCAAAGCTGACAAGACATGCTGTGGTTTCTTGTGATAGTTGAGCTGATTTAAAAGTTGGTTCCTACTTAGAAGCGCAAAACAGCTCTCAGTCCCTGTCCCTCATTCTTCTACCAACTCCTCCACAAAAGTCCTTTCAAAACACAATGGCTTAACTTGCCAAACTGGCTTGCTATGGGGTTATGTTAGCTCTGCCCTGATACAACACAAGTTGACAAGAGGACAGGACTGCTCCCTTTTGGTAAATCAGCTATTAGATCAGATCAACTGAAAGGAGAAACACAAATAGCCCAAACAAAATAAAATCTTATAAAGAAGGGATCACTTCTTTATTTTGTAACCATTATTCTTCAGTTCTCTCAGCTTTCTGCAGCCATTGTAAAAACCAGAGATATTAAAAACACTTCCACAGCATGATAGGATTTTTATACCATGGAGGCATCTTTCTTACGGTCAGTTTTATCTTGAATCCTGCAAAATCAATACCTAATCAAAGTAGTCACTTCCTATGTTATTAAGTTGCAAATAATTATATTTATGACTAGCTATTAATCAAATAGTTCAACTTTTTTTGGTAAGTCACAATTTTCTGCTGTTATCCAAACCCACCATTCTACAGATCTGTTCTTCCATTACATTTTATATAGATTAATACCTGCACTTTTTTATTTGCTTCCATATAATGAAGTAATATTTTAATCTGAAATGCTACCTAGACACCTGGCTCTCTCATCTCACCTCACCACAGTTACCATGACATTAGCACCTTCCCCAGTTTGAGTCCTAACTCACTTATTACCACACTGGTATCAGAGGTCGTTCTTACTCCTCTCCTTTCAAGTAACATAGGTCAATGATGCTCTCTAAGACAATTTCTCCACGGTTTTTACAGTAATCCAAATGCCTATTTGGAATACAACCAAGATTCCCAAGTGAAGTGGTAGAACTAGAAGGAATTGAGTATCTAGCAACATGATAACTCCTAGCAGACATGCTGCTGTGTTGATAAGCATCGGAATTCCTATGAATATCAGTACTTCCTTGTTCCCCTTCAAAATATAGTTCTAATGTACCATAGCAACTGAAATAGATCCTCATCCACTGTAAGAATTGTAAAAACATAATCAATCCACATGAACATTACTGCGGTTTTAAACCACGTAACAAATCCAGTAACTTACCTGCAGTCCATGCTTTGCATCAACAACAGATATAATACCTAAAAGAGAACATTAACATGTAATAGAAATGTGCTGAAAGCAGCTAACAATTTAACAAGTTTTCTGAAACCTTGCTTTAAATTATAAGAATTCATGACACCAAGTCCGGATATGGAATGCTAATACACTAGAAAACAAGCTTGCACTTCTTACCATCAAGATAGATGTCACTTCCCAGCTCAGAATCGACCCAGAACATGGAGGCCACAGCTCCTAAGAAGTGCAGTACATTTAGTTGCAAAACTGATTTTCCAGTAAACTATCAATATTCAGACATTTCATAGAAAAACTGTATTTGTGGTGCTGTACTTGAAACTTCTCTTCCAAACTCATAAAGCATCATAGAAGTCAAATACCCAACCAGACACTTGACCGAACAACAGCTACCAAAGCATTATAGTTGTGTGCACATCAACAGCTATGACTACAAAAAGGTTTAAAAGTCTCACAATTCCAGATGCGAGTTTTTCTAAATCACCTTTACTCAGTAGTATCAACTATCTGTCATCACTATACTCCAAGGCTCCCTCATTTCTAAAGCAATTCTGTACTCCCCGACTTCACCTTTCAGCCACTGTTTCTAGGTCATGATATACACCCAAAAAAAAAAAAAAAAAAAAAAAAAGAGGAGATTAAAAAGGAGATAAAACAGTTACAGGAAAATGAAATTGGGACATTTGAGACAAATCAGCTCCCTCCTAGGAAACTTCTCTTCTTCAATAGCCTCTATAAATTCTCCTGTGCAGCAGTTTCTTACATCGTAAATCATGAGGATGAAGAAAGTCAAGAATAACCGGATACAGGAAACAATGTTTTCCTTAATTATCTCAGGTCTGCACAGGAAAGCTTCTGGCTTTAGATAATTTTAAGACAGATCGAGTTAAGAAATACCTAATGCAGGTTCAATTTGCAAACAGGTATTAAATTAGACAGGAAGTTAACAAGGGTAAATCATGCCTAATCCATCCGGGAAGGCCACACCTGACCTCCTGTGAAAATACAGTGTATTTGTGGACAAGGGGAGAGCACTGCATGCCATTTACATCACCTCTAGCAAATTTTTCTACACTGTCTTCAATGAAATTCTAGTAACCAAGCTGCAACATTACTGGTCTGAATGGAAAGACAACCAGGTAAAACTGGTTGGATAGTTAAGCTCTAAAGGTTGTAGTTAACGGGTCATGCCCTACCTGGAAGCCAGTAGCAAACAGGGTACTGCAGGGGTCTATCCTGGGACCTGCCCTGTTCCACATCACCAGGAACCCAAGAGAGGCCAGAAGACATGCCTCTCAAGTTTGCAGAGAACACCAAATTCGGAAAGGAACAGTTGATATACCTAAGGGCAGAGCTATCTTTCAGAAGGACCTGGCCAGGCAGGAATGAACAGCTAATGAAATTCAGCAAGGAAAAACATTAATACACTTAAGAACAAAGAGCCCCTGGCAATGACACAAGCTAGGGACAGGCTGGCTGGGGAGCAGGTCTACAGAGAAGGCCCTGGGCATCCTGGTAGGCAGCAAGCCAAGCATGCAGCATACCCCAGGATCAGAAAAGGCCAAAAGCACCCCAGATTGTTGGAACAGAAGCATGGCTGAGGGAGGTAATTTTCCTCTATTTAGTACTTTTAAGACCACATCTGGCTAGCGCTCTAGCATGGGGATCCCCCATACAGGAAAGACATCAGCATAGGATCACCAAGACAGTTGAGGCTGAAGCACAGCTCCTACAGGCCGGGGAACTGCATTTCCTCAGCCTGGAGAAGGAACAGCTTCTGCAGAATCTAACAGCAGCTTCCCTGGTACCTACAGGTGAGTCACCAAGAAGACTGAGCCAGGCAGAAGCACGGAAGACAACCACAGTAAGCTGAAGTAAGCAAGGTTCAAACCACAAGTACCAGAAAAACATTTTTTCACCATGAAAAGGCAGGCACATAACAGGTTGCCTGGAGAGCTTGTGTCACGTTTATCCTCAGAGGATGGAGATATATGACTGGACATCCCAAAGAATCTGGTCTTGTCTTAAAGCTGTCCCTGCTTGGGGCAGGAGGTTGGACTAAAGACCTCCTAACATCCCTTCCAAATTGAATTAATTTTGATAAGCATCGTAGAAGAAACAATTCTACGATTATGTGATTTTAGTACTTTTAATATGCTAGGCCTCATTATTCACTGAATTTCCATCCAGATGAGGTGCTTCTGGAGTAATGAAACATGTAGTACACTCTCTTCTTTGTATAGTAATTTATATTTCTTCAGGATGTAAAATGGAACATACTAAACTGACAAGCCTTGAGCAAAAAAGAATCAGCAAGTATTTGGACAACTGGAACCACATTTAATCAAGGACTTGAAATCTGTGACCAGATACACAAGGCCTAGGAGTACACTACTCCTGTTTTCTGCTAAAGTGGCCCTATAAAGCAGATCCTTGCAACATCTAGGATGTGCTGTACATTTATTTTTTTTAAAAAAAACGTAATTTGTTACAAAACAAACCAATTTAACGTGTAACAGTGCCGCAATGCGAAGGATAGGAGGAGCTGACAACGTGACAGTATTTGCTGGTTGTTGTTTTTTTTTTTTTCAATTATCAGAGCCTTAGTTACTTATAGGCTGTCTTAAGACTATTAAGCAGATCAGAATTTAAAAAGAAAAAAAAAAATCAGTAACAAAACTCATTCTAATACCTAAAACTGTCCACTTGAAGTGACAAGATGCAGTCCTCCAAACACCACTCCATATCAACACCAACTACTTGTAAGTCGCTCACAGCGCTTACTCATGCAAGATATAGCAAGGACCACAACATCTAAAGGTTTCCTGGTATCTATTGATTTTTTTTCCAAAAAGCCTAATAGTTTTCCAATTTGACTCAAATAGAATTCATGTGTAACAGAGGCCAAATCGATGCCCTGTCTTTTGAAGAAAATTACTCTACCATGACAAATATTTAGCTGTGAGCTGGAAAGTGTCAGTTTCCTAAATGGAAAACAATTGAATTTCTGATAAGAATTTCCTTTACTCTTGGACAACAACATATTTTTAATTGAGGTGGTTCACAGAAAGTTGTTTTAGATAGCTATTACTAACACGAGCTCAAGTTTAAACCCCATTTTATAATAAGTATCACTAAAGAGTGAATTTGTAAGATCTGTTATTGTTCTGTAACTACCAGACTGTATTAGTCTGTTTTGCAGTGTATTTTATGACTTCACAAAATACGCCTATCACAACCAATGTGACAGCAGATCAGATGCTAATAATTTATACTTTAGAAGGAGCAATGTAGAACAGCAAAAGCCTACTGAAAACTACTAGTTTCAGAGCATGTTTCTCTTCTCCAAGCCCAGTGTCTTCTCTTGACAGAAATGTATTTTAACTGGATTTCTGTTGAGCTTTAGTGTCAATTTAGAGCAAGTTCAAAAAACCCAAACCAAAACACCCAGCCACACAACCTCACCCACAGCCCTGCTTCTGCACCTTATCCAATTCAGTTTTAGTCTATACAGCCATCAAAGCATGTACCTGACAACTGACCGATTCATATTACGTTTTGCACAGTGAAATGACTGGTGAGCAAATAAGCACTTCATAGAAACAGAATAATTACCACAGTTATGAAAACCATAATGTGAAATACCTGGATCTGCCAAACCAGTTGTTTCTAACAATATATAGTCAAATTTTCCCCTCCTTTGCATCAGGTTCTCAATAGCCTTCACACCATTGTCCCTGTAAGAAGAAACAATTAAACCTAAGAACAGAGAACACAAGCTAATACGTGTATAAGCATGTATCTTCTGATGCAGAACACAGTGTCAGTACCATCAAGGCAAACACCTGAGTCAGGACTTACAGTCTACAATGAAAATTTAGTCATCAAGCTACTGCTCTAATATTAGGGAAATCATAGTTTTCTGTTTCATTTTAGTCTGAAAATAATATTTGCCTACTCCTGACAGGCATAATAAAGGTGATTTAAATGAAGGTTTGTTTTCAAACACTGAAAACTCTGTAAAGGACAGTAGGGCTGTGTAAATACGTAATTACTTGCTATGGCAGCTGAGATTACAAAAACAAAGGGGGGGGTGTGGAGGCAAGTGCGGGAACTGAACCATGTTCTCCTGCCTTTCCACCTCACCTACAGTAAAATAAAGACATGTAATTTACTTAAATCTCAGCTGATGAAGTCAGCCTGAAGTAAAAGTGTATGGCATTTTATGTAAGAAACCAATGTACGTAAAACATAGCAGCAATTCCTTACATCCCAGTAGAACACTTTGCAATAGGGTCTTCCGTTTTCCACTTACTATCCCAGTTTAAGGCATAGGACCAGCTGCTGCAAATTTTCAGGACAAAACAGGCCATCACCCTTATTACAAACTTCACACAAACAATCCAGCATTCAAACAAACAGGGTAAAAACAAACACACTCCTGCTTTTTAACATGACCACCAGCTTACAATTTGAAATACTGTGTTTCATTAGGTCACCAAAAGGTATTTCCGAGGTGTACAATATTCAAGTATTAACCTACATACAGAGAATGAAACACAGAGTAAATACTTAGTGTGGAAATTAGGAAACCTGAGTCCTAGTTCCGGCCTCCCTGAATCTTTAGCTCTCTGTATAAAAGCATATAACACTAACAGAAGAGGGAGAGCTCCCTACCCTACAATACCCCAATGGTATATATGTTGGTATTTAGATTATTTTTCTGAAAGACACTAAGTCCAAATCCAGTAAAGCAGCTAAACAAAATAAATTTCTATCTCCCAAATTCCAATTCTTATTTTATCTGACAAAAGAAGTCTCAATCAATACTATCATCAGTTTTAGGAATCCAATCCTGGATGCCTTATCCTTTCCTCAACTCCCCCAAAACCCACTGTAAGAACTTGTACAATAGTCCTTCCTTACTTTACTGAACAGCACAGGCAGCCATTTCTGAGCTCCAGCCATTCTTCATAGAGTTCTCCCCCTTGACTGATTGCCAGCGATTTCTCCAAGGCACTCCCTGGAAATACAATTAGTATTATAATTTTAATCTACAATGCCTGCAAAAGAGCTATGAAAGACTGAAGTTGGTATACATTTTTCTTCTTGGATTATATTTTTTTCTTCTGAGACCGTGTTTCTGACATGTTCCTCAGAAAGTAGTATTTCCAATTTTAAGAGAAATTTAAAAGCCAAAGCCAAGTTGAAACCAAAGCCCAGAGGTTGAAAGTACAGCACAAGTGTCACACACTTTGCTAAAAGAAAGGGAAGTCAACCTCTGCCTCCATATTAAATAAAGGTTCAGTCTATACATTTTATTTTAGGCTCCATGACCAGAAGAGTGGCGTGCATCTTTGTTGATGAAAACAAACCAACAAAAAGAAACACCACCAACACAGTGCAAACTGTAAGCAACATGAACTACGGTACGGATATAAAATTACAGCCGTAAGTTAAAAATCCTGAGAAGCAAAGGAAGGAGTTCAAAGAACCACAGACAGCAAGCACATATCTCCCCATCTTCTTGTTCTAGGATAACTTGTGATCTCTAAGTGGCTGAGGGGAAAGGAAAGAAAAGAAAATACTATCTACCAACATGTTATTTTAATTTCCATTTGCCTGAAACTGAATAGGTCAATTGGAGGTAGAGAACTTCCAACAGGGTGATATATACTCATTTACTCTGCTCCGAGGGACTGAATTTATGTACAAAACAGATGAATGCACAGCTTTATTTCATGAACACTAGCCAAAATACTTTTTGCCTTTCTGAAGACTATGAGATATGTCAACAACAATGAATTTAAAACTACAATGTCCTTTATTTCCAGAAATTTTATATATTTGTCATTTTATGACTACAGAAATGTTTCTGCAGGTTTACATACCTTCTCCAAACTCATTCAGAATAACTGCTATTCTTTTATTATGCTGTTCTGTCAGTATGTAATTTAGAAGAGTTGTTTTCCCAGCTCCTAGAACACAGACCATATTTCTATTAAAATATTAAAAAAACTTAAATTTTCAAATAAAAATCAAATACTGTTGCGCACATGCACACTTCAGACAAATCCAATCTCTTCTGATATGAGCTTTCATTCTTGTATCGTGCATTCTATTACAGCAGTGTAAAAATTAATTTGTAGAGATATTTGACCCCACGGAACTACCAGCACATGAAATCTCAGCTTTAGGAGACCCATAGTTTTCCATTCACTGAGTGTCAGTTTTTGATAAACTTACAAGACCCCTACCAGCTGGGCAGTCTTTTTCTAGAAAACTCATTTTTATGTTTCTTTTAACAAAAGACCCACTTACTATTCTCCCTCCCACTGCCTTTTCCCGACTAGTTCTTTTGTCATCAGTAATCACTGATGAGCTACTACCATTAGATAAGGTATTGTTAAGCAAGGCATTCACAACTTCTGTAACACCACATTGCTAACAGTTTCATCCCATACACAAGATCACAACTAGGGGAATCTGGTAAAGCAACCTTCCTTCCCTGCTCTTAGAGCTTATTGAGAAAGTATGATGCAGGACGAAGTCACAACTTCTAAAACAGTGTTGGCGATCTTAAATTTAACTAGAACTTTACCGTATATAATCACATTCGAAGCTCTCAATAACTGTGTTGGTTTAAGAGAGGGAAACCAAACCTCACAGAAGATGGCGATTCAGTCTGCATTTAACAGAGGCAAATATATTACGATATTCCTACACTAAGCGACAAAAAGCGATTTGTCAAACACGACCAAACAAACCGGACCCTGAAAACAGGCTGGTAAAAGCAGCAACAGGAGTTTGTACGGCTGTCCAAAATCGTTCTGCAAACCTAAATGGAACCGCGCTTACTAAGGTAAGGACACGGCGCTGAAAGGCAATGTCTAAGGCCTCTCTTCTGCCGTGCCCCTCGAGCCCGGCGCACTCACCCAACCCGAGGGCAGGGAGGCT